TTTCTCCCTTTGCCTTTCCCACTGCTAACCTCTAGCAAACTGCTTTCTGTGGCACAGCTGGTGACAGAGAGCTGGGGTGGGGGGTGGTGGCAGCCCAACCTCAATCTTACCATGCCAGTACATGGCACACTGACTCTCCTGACTCCCCAGCCAGTGTCTCTGTCTGCAGCATCCTCTGTGCTTTGTTTCACAGCTTTTAGGTTGTGCCTGCATTCCAGATTCAGTCCCTACCAGGGGTGCAATAACACCACTGGTTTCTAGGAAAAGCTTTTGAGGCAGAGGCTGGGAATGAGGCATCCAAATATGAAAAAACTGGAGAGGTGGCTATGCAGAGATCCTGAAGAAAATGAATCTCAACAGGGGAAAACATCTATTAACTTAAAACTGATATTTTGGCGTGATGCTTTAAGCTATTTTGTGGATTATCTTTTAATTCCTGCTGACATGAACAGGTGTGTGAAATCAGTACTAGGAAGATCACAGGCTAATTCACCTCAGCCATTAACCAAACACCTTAACTCTGGCAGTACTTGGCAGCTGAATTTCGAGAAAGTTGATCAAAGCTGCCCAGCAGAGATGGTGGAGATAATTTACTTGGATTTGCCTGTACTTCTCAATGGGCTGCAAAGCTTTAATTTACAATAGAAAATACTGAGACTTTGTACATGCCAGCAAATTTATATTTCTACAAAGAAGTTGTGATATGTTTTTTTTTTCCTGTCAACAAGTAGAGCAAAGTTAGTAGTGGAAGAGTTTAATTTGCCTTTCAGAAACTTGAAATCTCAAAGTTAAACTTGAAAGAAACCTATATTTATCTGGATATATGGTGCCACATCTCTAATTTATGAACACAAAATTAAGTCTGTTCATAGAGAGCTTTTAGCTCAGATGGGGACTATTTGTTTTATTTTCAGTCTTACCTTTATAAGCTAATTTTCTGTGATCATTCCTCTTGGTTTTTCTTTAAAGTCAAATTCTAAAAAATGGATTATGGATTTTCTTCTGAGTTGTTATTTTTGGTTGGAAGCAAAGCTTGAGATTTTAATGCATGGAAATAAAAAAAAAACAACGATATGCCATGTTTCATATAGATGACTGCTAACTGCTAAGATAAAAATTATCAAACCTTCTGTGTGGAGCATAACATGTTTGAATGAATGAATGAAGTCTAAAATGAAAAGGAAACAGTAAATACAAGATTTTTCAACATTTTTTATTACTAATCAAACACCCTGAAAAATTGTCATGGAGCTGTCAACACCACATCTGAGTTATGATTGCAATAAATTGCATTTTTGGGGACAGCTGTTTTGTTTTGTTGCTTGAGCCAAATGTTCGCTATTAGTGTTCTACCGAAGTTGAAGAACTCATTATTATTTATGCCCCACCTGTATGCTGTCACTGATTCCTCTCTGTCCAGGGGATGATCAGTTGCAAGGGCTCAGAAAGTTGAACAAAATGTAATTACTGCATTCTATTTCTCAGCCTTTCTGTAAATAATGTGAGACACAGTTGGGAGCTTCTGGAAGCAAAGTTAGATTGGTTAGTAATTGATGAAACTTTCATCACCTGTGTGGGTGGACTTCTTGGAGATCAAGTTTCTGGATCTTTTGATGTTTTGTTTTGAATTCCACTTTCAATCTTTTTTTTCTGTCCCTAACTCCACATATCCAGTCATTTTCCTTTGCCCAATAATTCCCATGGTCAACAGACATCTTTTTACCTTGGATTTCTTGTACACTTTTCCCTATGTTTGTTGGCTTTTGGTTTTGTTTTGTTTGGGTTTTTTTTAATGCTAGTATTTCCAGGTCTTGCTTAGAAGCTTTCTCTCACCAATTGTTATCTTCTAAAATGTCACTGAGACCATCTGCTCCAGACTGGCTCTGCTGAGAAATTCTAATTCTCTAAGATCATTTGCACAGGCATTATTTTTCCAGACAGACCGTCTTCAACAAAGACTCAGGAGCAGAAAAAGCAAACAAGTCTGGCAAAAGTGGCAAGCATATCCTTTTAAAATAAATGAACCACATATTTTCATTACTTTTAATACTTCTTTGCCATAGCTGCCTAAGCTGAACATTTGTCTACGTGCATATTAAGCAGTAGCTAAGAGTCAGATTCAGGAAACAACTTCTGTGCATGGATAATCATATTCCTAATTAACAAACAGACATGTACATGCCATAGTCTCTTGAGGCTTTCAGCACGGGCCTAACCTCAAACCCTTCTTTCAAGGGCTTTTTTTTCTCTTTAGTAAATGTGTATTGTACCTGTAAGCTGTTTCTCTCTGGTGATTTTGGATTGTACCCTCATTAAGTGTAGGAGATTACGCTCACTGGTTATCTCAATAGTTTTCACTTCCCTGTCAGGTACCATGTTGCTTAACAGCCCCTCTGGTCCTTATGTCTGGGAGTAATAAATCAAAGAAAACCCAAACTGCTTGAAGAGGTGATTACACCCTTCCTTCTCCTGTTCTCTTTGCACAGCCCTGCTGGCCTGCAGGCAATGGATGCTGAAAACTACACTCTTTACTCTCTGCATTATCATGTCACTAAATTAGTACATGTTCACTCTGACACTTGGCAGTAAAACACTTGCATAGATAAAAGTGTATTGAAAAGATTCTGCCTGCAACCTAAAGTTTATGTAACTAGCAGCTGTGGAATAGGCTCCCAGTTTCCACATGTCTTTTTAAATTTGAAAGATCTATGCAGTTTAATGTGGTAATGGTACAAAATATTTTATCCTTGGTCATAATTCCTATGTCTGGTAACTGCTAACCTTCCTGGGCTTAGATATAGATCTTAGATATAGAAGGAGTCCCTGCTGTGGCCCTCTTTCTTCAGTAACAGCATTTAACGTAACATGCAACAGATCAGGAGCTTTTGCCTATAAATAATGCTGCCATTGTTACTATATTTGTAACAGTAATAAAGTATTTTGATAGGATAAAACAATGAAAATGGTCAGGGAAGTATTTTTAAATAGGGAAAATGATCTTGAAGTCATCTAAGACAAATGTATCCCAACTCTTTGGTCTGGAACCTCCACACAGAAACACTGCTGCTGCTTGGCTTCATCATGCTTGGCTTTGCTGCAGTAACTCATACATCCATCTTCCCATCATTGTACTAAAATGGCCTAGATGTGTTTGATGAAAATGCTCTTTAAGACAGTCATGGCTGATTACCAAATCAGCCCAAAGTGGATCGTAGCTGTGCTGTCTGAACTCATTTACTGTGGTTTCTGCTTTGCTTTGCTCATACCTATGCTGCTCATTATCAAAACAAACCAATTAAAACTTGCTTTTATACACTGTCAGAAGATGATCCACAGCAGTGCTAACACATGGATATACTGTTAGAGAGCTTCTAGAATCCTTAAGAGACTTTGATCCTGTAGCTGTAGTGACCAACCCAGCAGGGAATTTTTCAGCTCCCATGGCATTTCCTCATAGCCTTTCACTCCATTCTCTTCATTCTGTACATTCAGTTATGCATGTTGTCTTGTGTTCCTGGTACACAGACAATATAAACTTTATATTCTTCTATATTCTCTAGTTCTTGCTTTTACTCATATAGGTCTGATTATTCCCTGTCCTAAATAAAATTGTCAGATGAAACTGTTTCACTTGCTTTCAACTGTGGCCTTTTAAACTATGCATCCAATTCCTTTCTTTGGAAATCTCTTCTCAAGCCTTTTTAATCCCATTTCTGTTCCTCTAAATGTAGGTATTACCTTTGAGCCTGCTCCAGAGTCCACTGAAAGCATATATGCTCACTTCACAGCTTCAGAAAGGTTTAAGGGAGACTCGGAGTTGTGCCAGAGGATGCTTATGTGTTTTTGTTCTCTCATAACACAAAATTCAATTATTGCAATATTCTGTTTCCAGCTCTTCAGAGCACTACTGCTCATGCATCTGCTAGGATGAATGATTAAAGATGAAAGCAATGTAAATCTTGGACTTAGGATTCTGTGTTTACTTCCACAGCAAAGAAATGAGTTCTTGCAACTTCCCCTGACATAATGGTCTCTTGGCATGGCAACATCCTGTGCAGCCCCCAGGAAAAGAAACACCTCCTTTAAAGTTAGTACTTCATTGACCTCATAGTGAAAGCCATTTAAGTGTTGTTAAATAATTGTAGAAATTTAATGGTTGTTTAAAAATGTAGTCAGCAATCCATTTGGGAACTGGAATTTTTAATGTTTTTTATTTGCCTTCTGTTAGACAAGCCAGAATTTATGGGGGAACCTTAGTCTCTTTTATTGAACTACCTGATGAAATTGAAAAAAATTATAGTTTTTTTGATCCATTGTATCTATGACATTGCTTGTGTCTGGGAGACCCTTAATATTGTGTGACATGTCAGTAAATAAATAGGACACAAAAATCAAAATGGCCTTTATGACATAGACTAAAAACTGATTAAATGCTAGGTCCTTAAGTATAATTACAAACTGGGAATCATTGCTGGAGTTGATTTGATTCTGCAGAGTTTCCAAAGGACTGAGGCCAAGAAATTATCTCTGTAAAATCTTGCTAATCCAGTACATCAATATAAACTCCTTACTAATAAAGTGAGTAGGTTAAAGAAGAAAGCCATAAAGCATGAAAGAGATTAGTGCTGAGTGATCTGTATTGCTGGGAAAGCTCCATGCAGGTAAATTATGTGTATTTTGACCAAGCAGAGTAATCAATATCTAGGTACAAACACTGTTGGCCATGCAGGATACCTGTCCTAGAGAGCAGCAGGCCTGAAGAGGGCTCAGGGAGGATGAGGGATCTGCAAGTCAGCATTAGCATCCCTGCATATCAGGGAGGCTCAGCAGCACGGAGGCTGAATGAAATCCTCAGCCAGTGAAAGACTGGGCACCAGTAAGAATAAAGTTGTGATGTAACATCAGTTTAACACTGGCCTGACCTCTGCTGAAAAAATATCTGAATTGTGATGTAACATCCATTTAAGACTGGCCTGACCTCTGCTTTAAAAACATCTGATGCAGCTACAGTTCGCAATTCAAGGAATAAAAATATTTATGGGAATGGTTGAAGGGATGGGAAATATGCCTTACAAGAAGACATTCAAGGGTGTGCTAACTGTATGTCTTTATCATCACAATCTCAAAACTCATCTGGAGAAAATAATAGTTCAGCAGTTCCATGAAAAAATTCATAATAAGAGCAAAAACTAGAAGTCAATGTAGGACTAATCAGCATTTTAAAGGGAGGCAGAGATATAACTTTTTACAAATGACTGTAAGCAGTCATTGAAACATTTCCCCAGTGGCTGTAATAGATCAGTCTTGACTGTTAATTCAATGTTTGTATGCTAAGGAAAAAAGAAAAAAAAAGGACTACGGACCAGATGCAAGAATTAATGCCAATAAGCCCTACACTTAACATAAAGTACTAGGTTAGAAGTCCCAGTGGTACTGTCTAGTCTTAAACTTCTGTAGTCATCAACACAATGACTATTTTCCTTTAAACATGCTTCTTTTGATGTTTTCTTCTCTTGGTGTTTAGACTGTACTTCTTAAACCAGTCTTTCCTAAACTAATCCATTTTAAATTTTTTATTATTTTTAACATCACATAGAGAAAGCCATCACAGCTTGTCATTGCAAGGATTACAAGCTATGGACAGTGGCTGTTCCCTTGCTGGCAATGTCCCTTCAATGGCAGCAGCTTGCAGAGCAGCACTGACAGGTGGCAGCTGGGGCTGTCAGAACATGCACACCGAATTATTTAGTCACACCCCTCACCCAGACCTGTTATGGTCCTCAGTTCTGAATGTGTGCAGGATCTTGCCTTGCTGGTTAGAGGGAGCCAGGAGGGCTGCTCCACTGTCTTTGTTATTGATGTTCCCCTTTCTGTGAATAGAATAAAAAGAGGTGTGTCAACTGAGGGAAGACCTCTGGGGAAAGAGAAACCTACATACCTAAAATCCCTTTCCCTTACTTTTATATTCCTTTTGTTTCTGATACCAAGGAACAGCTGTGGATGGGAACCAGTAGGACCTCCACTGGCTGCCAAGCAGTCACCAGTGGGTGTTTCTGACCCAGCAGCTCACAGGCCCCAAGTTACCTGGAAATGCTTTAATACTGGAAAGATACTGTAAGGAGAGTTGTTGCTGACTATTGGTGAAAACAAACAACTTGGTTTAAAGTAATAATATATAGAGCTGTTTTTAATAACTATCTCAGAACAAGCATCTAAAAGCTGAATTCTACCAACATTAATACTTATCTCTTAATGAGACTTCAAAGCTGTTTTCTTTCTCTACTGTGCCATTTCTCGTGTTTTACCTTTCCCTCATGTTTGATGTTTTTTCAACATCAGTCATTCATTTACAACACTTCTGTTGATGTAACCGGGCTTTGGATTAGGCTTCAAGTTGCCATTTCCTTTCTGTTTGAATAGGGATTTCTTTTATCCAGAGGAAGGAAATCAATAATTTGTCATGACAAACCAACGCTCATTTGGATTCACAATTATGTGGTCAGCTCTTCTGCTGTTTTCTAAAGCATTTTAGGATAATGGAAGAAGAGCCTTGTTTGTGATTTTTGATGTTTTCCTTTGTTTCCCCTGATTTATTTAACATCTGTACTCCATTTGACCATTTGCTGGGCAGTTTACAGTAAATCTATAATTTTGTTTGTTTTAAAGATGATTGTGCTTTCTTGTGTCCCAAGTCTTTCCCAGGGGATCATTTAGGGATCCATCAAAGGATTAACCTTTGGTATGACAAATTAACAGATGTATCGGTGGGAGAAAGCTAAACTATACTTTACCATAAACTTGCATAATCTGTACCGCTCCTTTCCAATCATAGTTTTGCAGATGGCAGATTACAGAACCGAGCTCCCATTCTTTTTAGGCGCTGCTACCTCTGCAATCCCACCAGGGCATGGAACACTCTCAATCCTCGGCTGTCTCAGGGCAGGGAAGGCCCAGGTACATGCCTGGGGATGGCTGAGGGAACCTGGGCACCTGTGTGTTCCTGAGCATCCTGCCGCTACAGACTGGGAGTCAGGGCAGGGTGAGGAGCCCTGAGACCTGAGGATTTCCTCTGGCTTTGCCCTATCACTGCTTGACCACCTCCCTGTCCCTTTGCTTTTGTATAAAAGGAATAAAGGACAGGTGGCTGATGGCCCTGTGAGCAGCTGGCGCAGGGTTCTGGCTAGAACGGGAGGTCTGGGGGAACTCCAGGTATTTTGTGCTCGCTGGGGCGAAGAGAGAAAAGCTGGGTGCCGGCCCCGGCGGTGAGCTTCTTGCCAAAGTCTTTCGTTCTCCTGTCCCCACAGCCACCCGCGTATGGGCTCCAGCTCCGGGGTGCCTGCCCCCCTCAGCGACCTTCCCCCTCAGCCCCGGCTGAGGCACGGCCGGGCTGGAGGTAGGAGGGGGCAGCTGCGCGCTGCACTCGGGGGGTGCGGCTTTGTAGGGGCAGGACTGTGGAAGGTGGGAGTGAGGCGTGGGTGGGGTGTTGGGGAGGCGTGTGGAGCGTTCCGGGAGCCGCGGGCCGGGGCGATCCTCCCCCCCATGATTGGCAGCGCGGCGCGTCCCCCCCCTTCCCCTGGGCTGGTGCTGCCCCTCGGCCGCCGCGGAGCCCGCATCCGCACCGCCCGGCCGGTGCTCTGCGCGCTGCTCTCCTCTCGCCTCTGCC